TATGTATGTATGTATATATGTATGTATGTATTTATATGTATGTGTGTATATATATATGTGTATATACGTGTATATATATATGTGTATATACGTGTATACATACGTGTATATACGTGTATACATACGTGTATATACGTGTATACATACGTGTATATACGTGTATACATACGTGTATATATATATATATATGTATATACACGTGTATATACACGTGTATATACACGTGTATATGTGTGTATGTGTGTACGTGTGTGTATGTGTGTACGTGTGTGTACGTATGTGTACATGTGTGTAGGTATGTGTACGTGTGTGTACGTATGTGTACGTGTGTGTACGTATGTATACGTATATATGTATATACGTGTATATACGTGTATATACGTATATGTATATATATGTATGTATATGTGTATATGTATATATGTGTATATGTGTATATATGTGTATGTGTGTATGTATATGTATATGTATGTATATATATATGTATATATATATGTGTGTGTGTGTGTGTGTGTGTGTGTGTGTGTGTATATATATATATATATATATATACACACACGATTTTTTACCTATTTTTACCTCTCACCAGTTTATAATTATATTTATAAATGGAGTGGCTTTTTTCCAGAACAAATCACAGTTCTGAACAATTTTTTAAATTATTTTTAATTAGCAGGTCCCAAATGTTTTTTAGGGGATCTTTCAAGAGTGACTATACAGCACCAAAAAGCACATTGTGAGTTATTGCTATGCATGGTATTGTTATTATTAAACCCATTGTTTACCCTGCCATCTGAGCAGCCATGGACACAGATATGGATGGATCCACCAACTGGTGCAATATTATGCAAATAGATGTTCCAGGACCTTCCAACTTAACCCTTATTAACCAGCAGTGCCGCCTGTCCTCCAGTGATACAATCATGGGTAAGAGAAGCAGACCTTGGTTGTGTCAAGTGATTCTTTTATATGCCTGATAAAAAAAAGTAAGTTATTTTTGATGCGATGTTCTATTTTTGTCAGATCTGGACAGAGGAGTGGACCCAGAGACAGGAGAACGAGCCCAGGGGTGGATCCTCGCCTCTCGCTCATGAACACAAATCTGTGGCATGCTGGATATTGCAACCCATGACTGATAATCTGGGTACATTTGAATGTATTTTGTCTCTAATTAGTATTCTCCAAATACTGAATCGTCTTAGCATCCGAGATACTGTTAAATGACAATAAACCTATACAGACTTGCAGATGAACTGATCGCCATGTAATTTATGGGTGGTCTTCCCTTCTAGGTTATTTGAAGTTTAGAAAATCTGAACACTTCCACTGGACTCAAGTATTGTCTGTTATCTGTGCATGATAAAGGGTATATTACAATATTCTAAGGGTGATGCTTTTTAAAATTTATTCTACTGTATTTTTTGTTTGTTTTTGCGTGCGTTATCTTTTTAAATATATTTGCATATATTTCATAAAAATGCTGCATTTGACAGCAGGAAACATCTTTATATGTTGTTAAAGTGGCATGCGTTTCTGTTAATGCCAGGTGCCTCATTACATTTGTTGACAAAATATCTGCATTTTTTTTTAATACAGAAACAGCTGGTAACTTTACAATAAGGGTCTCTACACTAACCAAGATTTACAGCAAAGTTTGTCAACGTTGTTTTATGTTAGCATTTAATGCTCATTTCTACATATTCTAAATACATTAACATTTGTATTAATATATTATGAACATTTATAAATAAAAATTAACAATGAACAGCATTAATGTAGGTTCATACCTAATGCATAAATGTTAAGAAACTGAACCTAATTGAAAAGTGTTGCATTTGGTAAAATGGAAGTTGAATTTTAATGCATTATACATTTTTTTAACTGTTAAATATATTTTAAAATGTGAAATGTTTTGTGTGCCTTTTTGGAGGGAGTTTGCAAAGTTGCAGCTTCTGTGAAAATTTTTTATTACATAAACATAGTAAACTACCAAGGTGTTTTGAAAAAAAGTAAAGGGGGTTCAGCACAGAAAAAAAACAACACAACATGGTCTGATATTGAAATTTATCACTGGTAGGAAATACAAAGTGAAGCACAGAGATAATAGCACAAACATCCTAATCCAATCCAGAGTGGTTTCATTTGCCAGAGGAAAAAAAAAAAGTGGGGCCTAGAAGCTTCTGGCCTAATGACACAACACAAAGCAACAACGCAAATGGCTTTCTGATGAGAACATTGTGTTGGAGAATGGAGTTTTGCACAAATAAATGCTTGTGTCAATTTGCTATTAATTTGCTGTATTACTGTCCTTTCCGAACTCTTGTTCCATCATCCTCTGTATTTCCTGTTCCTCTACTCCTTGTCCTCCATCAGTGCACCACCCGCCTGATCATCTCCCTTCTTCTTGTGACCAGAAACGATGTCATCAATGCGCAGTAACAGAATGGCCGTCTAAGAAGAAAATTAGAAAATCCATTAACAGTCATAAGAAAAATCTTCTTCCTGGAGTCTAAAGCAGTTTTTCCTCAGTGAATAAGCCTTTTTACCTCAACTGCAGTTTTGTATGTCTGGGCTTTAACTGCCAGCGGTTCCCAGATCCCCAGCTGCTCCATTTCAGCAAGAGTTCCTGTCTCTCCATTGATACCCCATGAGGTGTTGCCCTCCTGTGTGTGCTTGGCCTGGAAAAGAGATGAGAAACACATTAACGTAGGGCTACACGATTATGACAAAAATTTCATCATAATTGTCGATTATTTCCTTGAAATTGTAATTGCAATTATTAATTACGATTATCATAATTGACAAATGATGTTTATACTATTGTTTGAAGCCACTGCATGCCATACTTTTATATGAAAATAAGCTGAAAACACTAACTGAAAAACGTATTGCTTTTCTATAGTATTAAGACTCAAATATCAACTATACTTTGGATTGTATTCTTCTTGAAATAAAAAAAGTTAAAATATGCATGGTATTATAATGTTACACAAACTAAAATTAAAACAATGGAAAAAGCCTTAAGATAACCTGTAGAAAGATCTTAAGCACGCGGAATAACATAAGTGGACTTTAAACGATTAATTGCTGCTTTGAACGATTAAGTAATTGTGGCACTCGTAATTGAAATCACGATTAGAAATTCGATTAATTGTGCAGCCGTACATTAATGTCAACTGAAATGCTGTTACTCAAGTTACTCAAGAGAAGCAGCAACATACTGAGATAAAAATACAAGAACTGTGCTATTGAATCAACTTACCCTAAGGGACGTGAGCACACGTATTGCTGAGGCTCCACAGTTCTGGATGAGTGTACGTGGGATGACCTCCAGGGCCTGAGCCACAGTGCGGTACGGCCACTGCTCTACACCAGTCAGCGCTCGCGAACGCTCCGTCAGCCGATGGGACACCTCCATCTCCACTGCTCCACCGCCTGGCAACAGATGCGGGTCCAACAGGACGTTACGACAGACCTGCATGGCATCCTGCAGGTTTCGCTCCACTTCCTGAGAAAGATCATCAGTCAAACAGTGACTGTGCAAGTCAATTAACCTGTGCAAAATCCCCTGATACCAGAGAACTCTGGCTGAGCTGATCAAATATTCAACAAATGGCCTGTTGAATTATCTCACTGTAGAGACCTTTGTGAGACTCTTTATAATGATTAAAAAAAACATTCTCATTAATCTTCCTCCGAGCATTACATAGTCATGAATTTTTAACAGTGGCCCCAGTCTCTTCATCTGTTTGGTTCCCTCTTCCTGTCTTTTCTCACCGCTAAGATCTCCTTGCTGGCCCCTCTAAGCAGAATGGTACAGGCTTTGGGGTCTTTGCACTCTGTCACAAAGGTGAAATACTCATCGCCGATCTTCTTCACTTCAAATAGGCCAGCTCCCATACCCACATCCTCTTCACGGAGCTCATCTGTTCTGCTGGCAATACGTGCACCACATGCTCTAGACAAGCAGAAGTAGAGAGTATCAGTTAACTTAAAAAAAGAAAAAAACAACCTTATTGATTTATGCAATTAAAAAATGCTGAATAAAATATATTACATAAACTTAATTATAACATTTTTAAAATGAAATGTTTAAGTTGAAGTACTAAAACTTCTAGAAATAAAATAAAAGATATACAAAAATATAAAAGAATAAAAATGACAAGCAAATAAAACGACTACAACTTAAATTAAAATGGAGAATGAAAAGAAAAGAAAAATAAAAGCTTATTTAAAACATTAATAAAAACTATAATAGTATATAAATACTAAAATAACACTAATAACCATTCACTAATGAATCATTCAAGTCAAATTGTAAACCATTTTGCCAAATTCATTAAAAAGAATCAAATCATTCTTAAAGTTTGTCACTCACAAATCAAACACCATTACACTACACAAGCAATATCTAGGCATATATAAATACAATATATATCCACTAAATACATTGCCATGATAAACATTTTAAGATTAATTTTCAAGATTTTCACATTTTAAATTTCCTATTATTTCCAGGTTTGCCAATGACTGGGAACCTTGGAATTAAGAACAAAAATTGTTTTATATTTTGTGCATGCACGTCTGACAAAATAAGCACTGATGCAATCAACTACACAAGAAAAATTCAAATATATTGACAAAAGCACATATTTCTGCACCTTGCAATACGGTTGTTGTCCGTCTTTCTGACACGACGGATTGCAGTGATGTTTGCTTTCATCAGATAGTGCTGAGCCAGATCTAGAGAGACGACAATTTAATACAACTCACATGATTGCTTGTCATCTTGCTTGGTGAGACCACCATTGCTTCTCATAAACAAATGACTGCATGAGTGCTCATATGTACCAGAGATGCCCTTTTCAGTGAAGATCAGGTCAGGTTTGAGACGAATAATGTCTTCACAGATCTGCTGGATGTACTCTTCCTCCATCTGCAGAATGCGGGCGAAGTCTTCCTCACGAGTGATCTCAATATCAGTCTGAGAGGCCAAAGGTCAGTGTTTTAGATGTTAGGCATTCAGAGGAAGATTGTGGATTCAGACAACGCCTCACCTGACTCTCACCCTTCTTGTACTCCAGAGAGCAGTCCAGCAGAACAATTCTGGGGTTCTTGATGAGTCTTCGCATACGGGGATGAGTTACATCCTTATTTACCATCACCCCCTTCAGCACACATGAGTCCTCAATGAAGCCACCAGGCACCTATTCACACACAAAAAGTGCAATTAGGTATTGCTTAACATTTAATCAGTTTAAAGACAACATGAACTGCAGGTCCTAATTTTCTCCATTGAGAATGAATTGGATCATGTATTTTGTATATTGGTTAATATTATCCAATTGTCCACACAACTCAAGTGACATCAAAAATAGCCTTATCTACAGTGGCCGAGAGAGCTCAACGCGCTGCAACTTAAAGGTGGGGTAAGCAATTTCTGGTACCCAATGTTGACATTTGAAATCACCAAAACAAATACGCCCCTACCCCAAAAGGGTCTCGCCCCTATTTTGATAGCTCCGCCCCACACATACATAAGCAACCCAGGCGACGATTAGTTCTGTGAAACAAAGCAAAACCAATGTTACATCGTGTTTACACCGTACGCGAGCGACGCAGCAAAATACTATAGGACTCATAATCAGTGATGCTGTCTACACCAGATATATATACATATCTATGGTCTACACTGGATGCGGCGCAGCACGACATGACAAAGTAAAATGCACCTACTAGGAAGAAAGAGCAATAAGACGGCATTATAAAATAAAAAAAGTGCGCTTTGATTTTTGAATGGCAAAGACGTGCTCACCCACAGACATTCACAGGTTCATTTTGAGGTATTAGCAAAACAACAAAGCTAATGCTTTTCACGGAACTTACGTAATTACCCATCATAAATTGTGATATAGCCTGGTTCGTTGGTCCGTTGGATCGGATTGCTTTCTCACTACAACCGAACCGCTCCAGAGTTCGTTTTCAATCGAGCCGAGACCACCTCGTTTAGGCGATCTCGGACCGATTGTTTTGGCGTGGATCAGCGCGATTGCCATGTTCACATATGCCCAAACGAACCGAGCTAAGGGGGGGAAATGCGCCAGGTTCCGAAGCAACAGGCCAGGTGTGAAAGCACCCTAAGAAAACACATGCAAATAGAAAGCACCAGCAAATTCAGAAAACACCATCAGTTTGCCAACACGTGTGCTTTAAATACTCAAAATACAGAAACGCGCTGCAAATACTCAGAACACAACCAAATACAGAAATGTGCTGCAAACACACACAACGCGACCAAATACAGAAAAGAGTTGCAAGTAGCACAGCCCACGTTTCAAGGGGTGTGAAACATTATGTAAGCTGGCTAACTTTTTTAACTTCCCTTTACGAAAATTAACCATGGTTTTATTATAGTAAAAGTATAGTAACCATGTTTTT